GAAATAAACTTTGGTTACTTTATCATTAATGTAAATAATATTCTTCACCTAAAAGTCAATGGGCTTGAACCTGTCAGAGATTGTGAGGATGGCACAGGATTACGATAGGGTTCAAATCTGTTTTTCATAGGGTTTCTGTGGGTCGTACAAGACTGGACAACACCTAACAACAACGACAACAGGGATGTAAAAGGGAACTCTGATAATGTAGTGGTTAAGAGCTATACTTCCAAAGGCATGCAGTTCAAATCTTCTAGTGATTCTGTTAGAGAACGATGGACAGTCTCCTCTCATGAAATTTACAACCTTAACTGAAAGCCTGCTGGTCAGCTATGAGTAGGTTCCAATTGCAAGACACCTAATAACAATGGGTAAGGAAAATAATACCTTGTAGGACAAACGATTTGTCTATGCAAAATGTTGTTAAATGCCATCAAATCACCTGTGATTCATAATGATCTTGTGCACAATAGCTCTGAACTCTGCCCTATCCTGAGCCAGTCTCACTGTCTCTGACATCCCTACCCCCATTATCTCAGTTACTGTGTCAATCCATCTCACCCACAGTCTTCCTCTCCTGTGCTGTCCTTCCACCCTTGATGTCCTTGTCCTGGGACTGGTCCTTCCTTACCATGGGCCCAAAGTATGTGAGATGGTGCCTCAAAATCCTTGCCTTCAGGGAGCAGCCTGGGTTTCACCCTCCACAGGATAAATCTGTTTGTTCTCTTGGCAGTCCATGGTGTACCTTCAGTACTCTTCACTGGCACAACTCAAAGACATCAATTCTTCTGTTGTTCTAGTCATTGTCCAACTGTTTTACGCATAGCAAGTAATTACTAAGACCATGGCCTAAATTAGACACACCTTAATCTCCAGACTGACTCTTTAGCACTTTGGAGAGGTCCCGACAGTAGAGAAATTGATCTTTTGACTTACCAGTTTTGCATAGTCAGTTCAATGACTCCGCCATATAAAGACAATTTAAATGTATTTTGGATATCATTAGTAAGAGGTGGTTTTGAATTCTAAATGCTTAAGACTGACTACAAGTAACATCAGACATGTAGGTATGATAATCTGTCTTCTGTAGTAGCTTTTCTCTCACCGGTGTTCTGTTCATTGATCCTCACCCTGCTTTATTTTTAAATCTTTTTGCCCTCATCCCTTTCACTCTGGCCCTTAAATGTTGGTGATGAGGGCCCAGATGCTTGTTGCGTAGTCTCTGAACATGTGATGTCAAGTCAAAAAAATCTGGGTCTCTAGTGGGTTTCTGACCTCTGTTCAAGACTTACATGTTTAACTCTCAGCTAGAAGTCCCCACAGACCTCCTCATTGCATATATCTACAGTTGAATTCTTTTGTGGCAGGTATACCCACTTTTTCCTCAGTCCTGTAAGTTTGAACTGTTCCTATATATACTTTTTTTAAAAAAAAAACCTTTCTAAATCTTGATGTCAAATCAGGCTCATTACTGCACATTAGATTACATGTCCAGTAGAAAACCTTTATTATTTATTTTTGGTAGAATACCTTTAGATTAATTTCTTTTTACTGTACTGTTTCTGTCACAGTACAGACCATCATCATCTGATGCCTAATTCATGGCAGTAGTCTTCTGAATGTTTTTCTCTTTCAGTCATTTCTCATTGCTTGCATTTTACAGTTTGGGTGAATTATTTGAAATATACATCTGATTTGTGAATTGGCTGTTTAAATATATGCTTGATTTCTCTTTCATTGCCTTTAAACATCCACCCACTTCTTTATGACACACACATCTTTTATATTCCGGCTTTGACTGCAGCTTTTTCTTTATCCTTTCCAATTTATCTTGCTCCTTTCCTCTCATTCCTACTCATAAACCTCTACTGCACTTGTACAGTAAATTGTTCAATACTAGTGAGTTCCCTTTGTGAGGAATGTTTCTACTCACCTCTTTATGGCTGCCTTTTGCCTCCCAACCCTACACCTGTGCCTGAGCAATGAATCATCATTTCAAAAGCAACTCAAATGCCAGCTTATGTAAGAAGGCTTTCCTGATGACTGTCTTTTCCTAATCTTGATTTAAATGTCTGTTATGTCATTTTTAGCAACATACTCTTGACTGAAAGTACTCTCCCCTAACTTAGCTCCTTGAAGACAATCGTGATTAGGCATGTGTCTAGTGCTCAGAAGCTTGTAGGGCTAATTAAATATGCAGGCTGGCTGACTTGACTGAAATTTGAAGAATATTTTTTCCCTGCTTACATTTAAAATATTGAGTGAATTCAGATGCCACAAAATTCATCCTTTTAAAGTATATATTTCACTGGTTTTTAGTTTAGTCACAAAATTGTACAACTAACACCACTAATTACAGAACATTTTCATCGTTTCATCCTATATCCTATTACCGCCCGCCAGCCCCCCCCCCATTCTTTCATATATGTCACAACATGGCTAAATCTTAAATATGTTAGGTAAAAGAAACCAGAAGGAAAAGGCTAGGCACAAAAGGCTACCTAGTATGTGATTCCATTTATATGAAATGTATAGACTAGATAAACATGTCATGACTGAAAGTGTATCAGTTGTCAGAGGTTAGGGGAAATGGAAGAATGAGAACTGGCTACTAAATACATACAGAATCTTTGTGGGTTGATTAATTCATTGTTCAGAGGTGATGATTGTACATCTCTGAGTATTCTAAAAACCACATCTGTATGTTTTAAATTGGTTAATTTTGTAGTATATGGATTATACCTCAATGAAAGCTTTAACAAGTATATTTATTTTGACCTGTTGAAGTTTATACTACAGTTGAAGATTGTTGGGAAGCTTCCTGTTTGCTGAGGAGCTAGGACTTTGGCCACAAGCAGAGAATACCAGAAGGTTGTCTGTGTTTTATTAACTACACAGAAACATTTGACTGTGTAGATCACAACAAATTATGGCTAACAATTGAGAAGAATGACAATTATGCCAGTATTAAATCTATACTTAGAGCAAGAACCTGGGTCTAAAACAGAGCAAGTAAACACGGCATGATTTAAAATCAAGAACCATGTCCAGCAAAGCTGGATCCTTATTCCACCCTGTTCAGTCTGTATGCTGAGCAGATCATTTGGGAAATTTGGGCTTTACTAGGGGGTAGGGGGGACGGGGGTGTGGCGGGGATAGGGTGTGGGGAAATCGCATCAGGATTGGAGAAAGATGCATTAGCAACCTGTACTATGCAGATGATACATCCTTGCTCTGAAAGTGAAGAGAACTTGAAATGCTTGCTGGAGAAGAGCAAGTACTGTACTGCAGCTTTCAGTATGAATTGATAGCGTCTCAACATCCAGAAGACAAAAATCCCCCTCATCAGTCCAATAAGCAGCAGCATGATAAATGGAGAAAACATTTTAAGTTGTCAGTGAATTCATCTTACTTGGATCACAGTTCACACCACAGGAACCATCAAGTCAAGAAATCAAAAGACATGTTGCATTGAGAAAGTCTGCTATCAAGGACTTCTCCAAAATAATGATGCCAATTTAATGACTAAAACATTTCTGATCCAGGCCATGGTTTCAGTTACTTACTATCTTTCTGAAGGTTGGACAGTGAGTAAGGATGACAGAAGAATCAATGCCTTAAAGTTGCGGTGTACTGCCAAGAGAACAAACACATATGTCCTGGAGAAAGTGAGACCAGGATGTTCCTTGGAGGCAAGGATGATGAAATTTCCTCTCACATACTTTGGACATGTTATAAAGAAGAGCCAATTCTTGGAGAAGGACATCATACTTAGAAAGGTGGAGGGTTGGGGAAGAGAGAAAGATCCTCGACAAGGTGAATTGACACAGTGTCTGGAACAGTGGGCTCAAGTGTTAGTGAGGATAGCACAGCTTATGGCAGAGTTCAAAGCCATTGTTTGTAGGGTTCCTATGAGTCACGATAGCACATAACAACAGCATCAACAAATCATTGACAGGAAGGATCTAGATAGAGGGCATGATCTACTTCTTCTGAAGTACTTGCCTTTGATGTCACTATTGTTGCCATGATAATAAATATCCCTCTTTCTTGTGTGAAATGTAGACAGCAAATTATATTCAAATGAAATTTAAATTTTGTTTTTATTAGTATTGATAAGATCAAACATAGATCTGTGCTTTTAGCATTGTTTCATTTGGTCTTTTCAGTTACGTTTCTTGTCACATAGATTGAAAAAAATTTAAGGTAGAGCTGAATGAACTTTTGATTCTAGTTTAAATCTCTTTCTCAAAAGCTTAACTTTAACATTAGAATCATGATGGTGAATTGCAGGATTTAATGTTAGAACAAAGAATACCATGTTTTCCTCTAGAGTTAATTTTCTTGTTATCAAGCAGCCTACTGTTTAAGACTTTGTTTTTCAAAACGTAACATTATTTGTAAGGAGGGACTGGTCCTTGGAGAGGGACATCATGCTTGGGAGGGTGGAGGGACAGCACAGGAGGAGAAGGCCCTCTATGAGGTGGATTGATTCAGTGACTTGGGGTAATTGGGATGGATGTGTCGGAGACCGTGTGATTGGCACAGGACAGAGCAGAATTTAGGGGTCGCTATGAGTCGCAAGCGACTCGACGGCACATAACAACAACAACAACATTATTTGTACATTTTAGTTTTAAAATGTACACGTTACTTTTTTATTACTGAATAGGGGACTGAAATAAAAATTATAGTCCTTAACAAAATTGGATTATTTTCTATTTATTATTTTCTATCGGATTATTTTTATTTTATCATTAATGGAAGCAAAAGTTATCCTTTGTGTGGTCCTTAGTGACTTGAAGTTTTACCTGTATAGAATTAGAATTCATCCTATTGTGATGCTAGTTTTGGCCCTGTGATTAGTTAGGATAGAAAATTCTAAAACTTAAGAGTACCTTTCTAGGTTTTATCATGCTTATGAAACTTCTTAGAATTAAAGTTGAATGTTTATAATATGTTTTGTGGTTTTGTTTTCTTTACAGAATTAAGTTGTGATCATGACTACTGAAGTAGGCTCTTCATCTGAAGTGAAAAAGGAATCTGACCAGTTAGGAGCAGATGCGACCAAGGAAAAACCTAAAGAAGTGGCAGAAAATCAGCAGAATCAGTCTTCTGAGCTGGAGGAAGAAAAAGGTTCCCAGCCACCTCCTCCAGCTGAAAGCCAAAGTAGTCCTCGCCGCCAGAAGAGAGAGAAGGATCCATCGGAGAGTAGGGGCATTTCTCGATTCATACCCCCGTGGCTTAAGAAGCAAAAATCATATAATTTAGTATTAGCCAAAGATGGAGGAGACAAAAAAGAGCCTGGCCAGGCTGTTGTGGAAGAACAGGCCATGATTAAAGGGGAATCTCTTCCAGAAGAAGAGCGGCAGGCGAAGGGTGATGCTGAAGACACAGCTCAGAGAAAACAACAGGAAATGAAGGTTGAAGTCAAGGAAGAAAAAGCTTCAGTGTGTGTTGGGGAGGCACAGGTATGCTCGGGATGTGATTATCTGGAAATGAAAACACAGTGGCATAACAACACAAACAAATGGATTTGTTTGATTTAAATTATTTCCAGAATTTTTAAATGGAAATATTGCTGACTTAATATATCTGGATGTAAAGCTTAGATCGATCTATTAATCCTCCTGTTTCTCTGTCTTTTTCTCCTTTTCTCTTTTTAATTTATAAGGTAATGAAAGAAACCTATATCTGGAGAGGGTGCAGCCAGAGTGCTCTTTGGAGGCAAGAATGATGAGGCTTTGCCTCACCTACTTTGGGCATGTTGCTAGAAGGGGCTCTTCTTAAAGAGGGAGATGACGCTAGGAAAGGTGGAAGGTCAGAGAAGGAGAGGGAGACCCTCAATCAGGTGGATTGACGTGGTGACTGCTCAATGGGCACTTGTGTGTTAGAAAGTGGGAGGATGGCACAGGATAGAACAGGGTTCAAATGGTTGCTATGAGTTCTTCTTGACAGCACCTAACAACAGCAGCAGCTATAAATGAAAACAATGGAAGCAAAAGTCATATAATTTAGTATCGGCCAAAGATGGAGGAGATAAAAACTGTACTATATACATAAATGTACACACAGTATATATGTAAATACTAGAGTTTATATTTATTCCTTATAGAGTCAAATAGATACTTCTAGAATTCTTCTTTTAAACAAAATGCCCATTTATCTCTTTGATTTATTGAATTCATTGAGTAGTAAGGAATAAATTGGTGTGCTTGTGTATGCATTTTAATTGCCTAAAGAAGTCTAGGTTTTGCCATAGTTTGTGATTTGAGTTACACATTTTGTTATTTTAAATACTTAGTGTGTCATTACCAGGATGTAGTTTATTTCAGTCATTTAATGTCAAAATGACCAAATTCACAAAATGAGAAAATGAGTTTCTGACATACTCCTTTCAGGACTCTTTTTCTAGCAAAATGTTGAAGTTTTAGTCTTAAAGTGGTTATAATAACGATCACATTTCTTATTGAAGATCTTTTTAATAAGTTGTTGTCTTTGGCTATTTGGTTATTATTGTTATGAACTTAATGCTTTTCCTAATAGCCTGTTGAAGATGAAAATAAGAAGAGAGAAGAAGAGAAGGAGAAAGAAATTCAGGAAGAAAAACCAGAAGGAGAAGCAGCAAAAAGGGAGACAAAGGAAGTCCAGACCAATGAACTGAAAGCAGAGAAGGAATCTCAAAAAGCTACTAAGAAGACCAAAACTGTCCAGTGTAAAGTGATCCTCCTGGATGGCACTGAGTACAGCTGTGACCTGGAGGTGAGGCTGGGAGCTGAGAGGAGGAATGATGGCGGGAATGAAAGGCAGAGTCTAAGCGGTTTTCCCTTTTGGCGTGACACAGTGAATAGATTTCTGTGTTTTACCTAGTTTTTTCCATTTTTTTGGCATTTGAAAAAATGCACAAAAGAAGGAAATTTCTATTGCAAAGAATTATTTCCTGATGCTTAGGGATAAGGAGAATTGATTCCCTGCCAGTTGGCTCAGGTTAAAAGATGTACTGCTTGTCTTCTAAATGAGCATTAAGCATTTTGAAGGTTAACTTTTGCCCATAAGGTGTTTTACAGGAGGAAAAAAAAAAGTTAACATGTAAGAATGGTGAAATTTGGTGAGCAAATTTAAACCTAAGTGATTTATCTTTTTAATTTTGTTCAGTTATACCCATGATTTGTAAAATATGTACTTCATTTACCATTGTTGCTGACAGGAACTAATTATCATTTTAAAAAGAACTCTCAGCAACTTAACTTTGTGTCAGAGGCTTTATTACTTCACAGCTGAAATGCCTTACACAGCCTATAAGAATAACTGAAAAGTCGGGATGGTACAGTAGTTAAACTCAATAAACTGAAGGGTGCAACTGTACTTCAAACCCACCAGCCACTCCTTTGGAAGATAGATGTAGCATCTTGATCTCATAAAGAGTTACTTACAGTCTTTGAAACCCTTTGGAGGAGCTCTACTCTGTATGGTTTCTATGAATCAGAAGCAACTCTACAACAGTAGGTTTTGCTTTGTCTTAGAATGATATCTAGTGTTTAATGGAAGGGGTTCTGGTGATGTAGTCTGTGGGAGGTGGCGCCTGTCTGGCAATCCAGATCCACCAGCTGCTGCTCAGAAGGAAGACGGGGAGTCTCCTTTATGATTTACAGCCTTCTGAAAACTGGCAGGAGGGTCAGGTGTGAGTTGGTGGTGATTGGACAGCAATGACTTCCTTATTTGTGTGCTTAATGAAAACATTGTGAAAAACTTTGAATGATCTCTCTCATTTAATACAAGAATCCTTATGAGGTAGCTTATTCTTGTTGTATTCCCAGTGCTTTCGTGGCAGCTGTAGAGTGTGGAGATGTTGAGTATCTTGCCCAAAGTTTCATTGTAATTAGTTGAGCCAGAATTCCAGCTCAATGAGATGGATGGATGAGATAGTTCACCACAGTGAACTTGAGCATAACAGAGATCATGAAGTTGGTATTGGATAGGTCAAGTTTCAGATCTTTCGTTCATGGGGTCACTATGAGTCATAATCAACTCGTTAGCACCTAATAACAATAACAACAACAACAACAGTAGTTCGTCTATAGAATTTATGAACTTGACCACTTAGAAACATATTTTATCTTTCACACTTGAACCTTATTTACTCTTTTTTAATATTTTCTCTAAACAGTAGTCTAGTCTTTGGTCATCTACATTCAATTTTGCAAATCTTTTTCTTACTGTCTTACATTCTTATTATATGCAGGGGTTAAACTTGAACATCATGTAAGTATACAGCTTAGTAAAGTCACCTTTGTATCTACATAATTGAACAGTGTTGTTGACTGCCTGAGTAGTCGCCCCACTCATTGGGTCCCCATGCACAACCAGATGGACCATTTTGATCCCTATCATGAGATTTTCATTGGCTGATTTTGTAAAAAAGTCATCATTAGGCCTTTCTTTCTAGTCTGTTTTCGTTTGGAAGCTCCGCCAAAAGCTATTGAGCATGATAGCAATACCCAAACTACTGACAGATGGATAATGGCTGGTATTGATGTATTAGCCAGGAATTGAACTTGAGCTTCTCCCACATGGAAGACTCTTGTTTCTGCCACTGAACTATCCTTGCTCCCAATTGAACAATAGTTAATTATGTATTTGATTATTATATGCAAGAAATTTATGCTGCCAAGAGAAGTTATTTTGAATTCTTGATAGTTGCATTTATCTTTGTGTTTTTAATATGAAAATATTTGAGTTATAATAGTCTAGTATTTGAATTCTTCAAAGAAAAGGACAAGAGTAAAATGCTATAATACTCAATTGTCCAAATAAGCTTTACTTCAGTCACATAGCTTTTTCATTGAGGATCCTGCACAATGTACAAATTCCTGAATTCTGTGGAAGTTACGATGTAGGTTTGGGGATTTTGACCGGAGCACAAAGTGCATTGTCTTACATGTCATATTGTGCTTCGTTTGGATTGGCTGTAGTATATGGATGGATGGATGATTCTTTTCAAAAAGTAAGTTTTTATTATTGTATTTTGTTTTGTCTAAATTCTCCTTTTCTCCAAATTATAGCTGTTGCTTTAGGAAACATCCTGAACTGATTTGCAGATTTATCTGGCTCAATACAATATAATAAAAATCACTATATGGGCACTCTGCTTTTCATATCTTGTTATCGCTTGTTATTAGGTGTCAAATCTCATATTGAAATGTTAACCAAATAAGTAATTTATTATCAGTGTACCTTGTCACTCTGTCCACTACTCATTGGGGAATCAACTTTAGTTTGCTCTCTGAAGTTGAAAGCAAAAAAGGTAAATGTAATAGTTGATTTTTTTAATTGGATGGAAAAATATATTATTTTAGTTGTTTCTTTAAGTCAGTGCTCGAGAAGTATAGTGATGTATTTATTATATGAACTCGCTTTGATAGGTTGTTACAGATTTGACTTTTTATTAATAATTATTTGATACGCTTTTATAAGAATAAACTGAGAAGAGCAGACAGGGAATTTACTAGTAGAATGTATCCCTTCCCCTCCTTGAATAAAAAGTTAAAAGGAATTTGAATGGACTTCAGAAGTACTCAGATTGTAATCATTAGCAATTTATAGATACACTTGGCTCAATACAATCTAAAAGGATGCTCCTTTGCTGTAGTCTGTGAAGTCATGCTGCTAACTGAAAGGTGGCACTTCTCCATGGCTCTACTAGCTGCTCCAGAGAGAAAGATGAGCAGTCTCCTTCCTTGTGATTTACTGCCTCCTGAAAACCTGCGAGAGTCAACTAGGAGTTGTTTGCAATTTGGTGGCAAGGAGTTTTACTTTTTTTGGAATTTAGGTTTCTTTCTTGTTTTTTTTTTTTTTAACTTTCCAGTCAAATTCAGCAGTAAGGGGGTGGTATAATAATTTTAGTTGCACTAATGTTAATTGTTTCTGATAACTTTTACAGTTGGCCCAGGCTTTTGATTTTGTTTTTAAGAACTGTGATATTCTGTTGCAAATTTCATATACCAGCAGTCTACACAACTTTTTTTTTATTTAACGATAGACCATAATTCAACAGTATCATCATAGATATTATAACATGTGTGGAAGCTATAACTTACGTTCCTCTTAATTAATTTCTATTTTTATTCATGTTTCTTTTCCTGATGTCTTGATTGTTTCCATTAGTGTGGGTCTGTTACTCATCAGACCTGCTATTTCCTCTTTAGGAGCAGAGCCCAGTCACTTGGTCTGAGCACCCTCATGTTTCCTGATTCTCCTGCTGATTTTAGGCACATGGGATAATATGTGCTGATATTGCTTATCTGTGGCTCTGTGGCCGTGTACAGGAAATCAGTGTCTGAGAACTCTTGCGGAAGCCAATCCTGTGGAACCCTGCCTGTTGATGAACTTACATGAATTCAAGGAAGGTGAATGCAACATGGAAATGAAAAAGAAATAAAAACCAATTGGGGGCATTTAGAGTTGTTTTTATTATGCAGAAGGCATAGTTGTCTTCATTTAGGTCACCTAAGACAGAAGGGGAGAGTGGAGCCCCTCATGCATGGCCTTTGCTGGATGTTGTGGAGGGCCAGAACGGCCTGGTTTGTTGGGACCTTATAGGACAAGATGAGGTTCAGGAAAGTTTTAAGTGCTGTTGTATTGTTGTTATGTGCTGTCGAGTTGTTTGCGACTCATAACGACCCTATGCACAACAGCCCTAAACCCTGCTCTGTCCTGCGCCATCTGCACTGCCTCTGACACACCCATCCCGATTACCCCAGTCACCGAATCAATCCATCTCATAGAGGGTCTTCCCCTCCTGCGCTGTCCCT